TAGACTCTGCCCTGGTATGAGTTGTGTCGAGCTATTCATTAGTCTGTTTGATGAGAAAAATATGAAATTGATAAAATGGGTTATTAATCCGTACAACTGCAGCAGTGGAGGACTATTATTCTGCTGCGTGATACTGCAGAAGAACTGATGAAGGCACGGTTTGATCTTCGGCTGACCAATCAGCAGAAAGGGGCGTTTAATTCCCACCCACATGTAGAAATCGAATATTCAAGCTGTTTATTCATTTTTCCACCCATGAACGAAAATGAAAATTTAAGCAGAATTCTCGTTTTTCGGGAAAAAAAAAAAAAAAAACGAAAAAGGAGCCGTTTTCTCATTTTTCTACTTTCAATATTAAATCAAAAAACGAATGATCGAATGATACACGCATTCATAACAGTTTCCAGCATTGATAATAAATCAGCATATTAGAGTGATTTCTGATGGATCATGTGACACTGAAGACTGATGCTGAAAATGTAGTGCTGTGTCACAGAAATAAATGATATTTTGAAGTATATTAAAATAGGAAACCAATATTAGAAATTGCAATAATATTTCACAATATTACTGTTTTTCTGTATTTCTGATCAAATAAATACAGCCTTGATAAGCAGAAGATACTCCATTAAAAATCTTAGTGATCCCAAACTTTTGAACGACTAATTTTGCTTTCAAAACGGAAAATTTTGCTGAAATGGTGAAGCGTTTTCACACTGGCTTGCATCTTAAGTCATAGATAAACCTCTGCAAAAATCTTCTTTTTGTAAAGAAAATCGAAGGTAGCAAAGACGTTCTTTGTAATATCTCTCACAATTGGTACATTTACATTTCTGCATTTAGCAGACACGTATCCAAATCAACTTACAAGACAGAAACAAAAAACCTGTTACAATATTCTTAAGTGATAAAGGTAGATTTTTTTACTCCGATTGATATACCAGTAAAAATGTTCCTGTTTAAAGGTATAAATATAACAACCTGTATAAAAATTATCCTCTTCAAATATTCATTTCCATTGTTATTTTGGCCTGTTAACAGATCTGATCCAGTGCTCAAGGAAATGACTAAATGCTACAACATTAAAAACAGCTGTGAGCAGCCAAGAACAGTTGTGTTCATTTAAAGGGGTCATATGATGTGATTTCAAGTTTTCCTGCATTGTTATGAAACAAAGCTGATTACAATACTTATATGCATCTTCGAACCGTAATGATCATAATATGAATCATAATAATAACATCAGAGCAAAAAAACACTAAATATGAGACTCATGGTGGAGTCTACAAATCTTTCTTTTATATTAACGGAAGTTTTTGCAAGAGTGCAGAGCTCGGTGAGCTTGCTCTGAACTGAAGTGATTGATGCTTTAGTGATGATAAAGGGAGCGCTCTTTGCCCACTATTAGTATGTAACGCATTCATAATTTGAATAAGAGTTTTAATGCTACACACAAGTTTCGGACTTAAAACCTAAAACTGCAACGATTGATTCTTCTACACAAAATAATGTTCTTTTTAGCAGCATCATATGACCCCTTTAAAAACAAAGCACAGTTCGAAAGTGAAATGTCACACCGAAAGACTTTCAACCTGTAGGTTAAGTGTATGTTATCAGTGAGAAGGTCATGGGAACGGAGTGGCTTGTTCTGAGGCAGTACCCAAACTCACCAGGAAGTGTCGCCTGAGCTGGTGACAATCTGGTTATCGTCCACGAAGCGGCAGCAGGACAGATAGCCTGTGTGAAGACAGCAGCCTAACACTGCAACGATTGATTCTTCAGGACAAAAAAAAAAAAATCTGACATCAAATCAAGTGCAAACTAATAGAAATGCCACTTGTTTGTTACGTATAATTGTTTCTTTGGTCTTCAAGTATTTTTTAAAGAAGCAAACTTTTTTAATCAGGTCAAGTGAAAATGAAGGCTACATTCTGTTTTAATGTATTATTAGCATCATATTTCTCACACACACACAGACTACTACAATTTTGGTATTGTGACAACACTTCCCCAGTTCATACAGTTTAAACAGCATCATAGGAAATACCTCATTAAATGAATTGAGAGAATCCAGACAAATACGTTATTTAACATGTCGAGTCACTACATCTAATCATCAGTTCACAAATGTATTTGGCTTTCACATTTACCTTGTTTGTAGTATAGCTGTCCCAGATAATTAGTTTTCCATCCTGGGAAGCACTTACAAGAAGCCTGCAAACACAGAGAGAGGGGAGAAATAAAGAAACCGGGAACAATCAGGGCGATTTTAACTCTTTCTGAACATCTACACTTTTTTCTGGTCAAAAGTTTGATCAGGAAGATTTTTAATGTTTTTTACAGGAGTTTCTTCTGCTCATCAAGGCTGCATTTATTTGATCAAAAATACAGGAAAAAATGTAATATTGTGAAATATTATGATGTAAAATAAAATTTTTATATTTTAATATACATTAAAATATAATTTATTTCTGTGATCAAAGCTGTATTTTCAGCATCATTACTCCAGTCTTCAGTGTCACATGATCTTCAGAAATCATTCTAATATGCTGATTTATTATTAGAATTATCAACAGTTGTGCTGCCAAATATTTTTTTTGGAAACTGCAATACTTTTTTCAGGATTCTTTGATGAATAAAAAGTTAAAAAGAAGAGCATTTATTTAAAATAGAAATCTTTTCTAACAATATACACTACAGTTCAAAAGTTTGGGGTCAGTACATTTTTATTCTTTCTTTTTTTGAAATAAATTAAAACTTTTATTCAGCAAGGATGTGTTAAATTGATAAGAAGCGATAGCAAATATTTATATTGTTAGAAAAGATTTAGATTTTGAATAAAAGCTGTTGAATAAATGCAGCCTTGATGAGCAGAAGAGACTTCTTTAAAAAACATTACAAGTCTTACTGATCCCAAACTTTTGAACGGTAGTGTGTGTGTTAAGAAAACAGTCTGAGAGAAGTAGTAGTATCTATTTATTTAATGGCATGTCAGCATCTTAGGCTACTTTCATGGCAAAAACCATTTAAAAAATACAAGTGTAACAAATACAATAAAAACCAGCAAACAAACAAACAAGTTATATTACACAAGATACAATATGACAAAAATTCTAAAAACAAAATTACTGGCAAAATTACACTAAATAACTCTTTAAGTGAACTGTTCACTTCATAAAAGAGTTTTCTACATACATTAAAAGCTGGACAGTCCAATAAAATATGTTTGACAGGTCTGAGAGAAGTCTAACGATTATAAAATCTATATAAAACATGCCGTATGAATATGTAGGGAATGCTTTGCATAAAGACAAACTATATTTTGAGATTAAAGTAGTAAAATAAACAGAAAACAGTGTTCACATGATATCCATAAATGCTACAATTAAATAATGAGCATTACATTATAAAACGGATGGTTCCGGTCCTTGATTCTGATTGGTTGAGTTCGCTGATTGGTTCGAAGCTGTTGTAAATTACTCTACAAACATACACCTTTGTTTACTTTGTGTGTTGCTCGGCAACCACTTTGTTGCAACCACAACCGTTTCTGAGGAACTACATTGTTTGGTGGAATAATACTGTTTTTATTAATATCATTACACTTTATTTGCTCTGTTTTATTCTGTGAAACCTTACTACGTATATGGAATAACCGTTTTATAAAAGCAATAAGCCCCGTGAAGCCGTGGTTTACAGTGAATTAATAACAGCTAACTCCGCTCCGCGTTGTACCTAACAACGCCCCTAAGCTGTTATAAATTCACTGTAAACCACGGCTTCTTGCTTTATTTTAAAACAAAAAGGTACGGGAGATTGGCTAATGGTTGTTGTTAGCTATGATGTACAGGTGCAGAAATATTTCAACTTCAAGAGACATATTACTTTTACAAAAGAGTTCCTACATATTAAATGACTGATGTCACCCTAGTAGTAGATCTAGTGGTGACCTGTAAACTAAGCCATTAGTATGGGTGCTGCTATGCTACAGAAAGATGTTACCTCCTAAGATAATGCATGATTACTGGGCACATTTTGCCAATACAATAAGGGAATTTTAATGAAAATAGAAATGGCATGAAACGAGCATTAAATGTCTCGGTGACCTGCCCTGCGAGTGGCTAAACCGCACATGAAGACTGAACTCTTCTGTTCAGAGACGTGTGGAGCACGAGCATCTCACTCAAGGACAAGCGTGTACAGTGAATGCACAGTTTCAACGTAACTGAACAATTTGTGTAATTATAAACGCTCTTGGTAGTTACAGCTTCACACACAGTTAAGTGAGACAGAAATAGCAGCAGCAGCTCATCTGTGGAGACAGAATGAAGATCACAGGCACTGAAATACAGAAACGTTTCCTTTGAGCCAAACAACGACACTGGTTTAATCACACCATCTTAATATTTACAGTATAATAATTAATTATATTACATTTTACTAATATATTACACCCTATATTCTCTTTAGAACGATTCAATTTGGTGCGATTAAAGTAAAAATGGCACATTAAAGCGATTAACACATTTAACACGCCCCGTCCCAGCCGAGACCTGTACTTCATGCTGATGAACATGATGCAGGACGACGACTGACTGCGTGATGTAGCCTACTAGAATGCAATTATATGGCCCCAAATTTCAAGATATGAGGCAAAAAAAACTAAAACATTTTTGTCTTATATTTAAATCTAGGGGTGTAACGGTTCGGTACGAGGCTTTCGGTTCGGTACGCATTACAAACCGAACGATTCGTTGGACTAATCCTATTACATTTGAAAAATAAAAGAGCTTAACCCATTTAATCCCACCGTAAAAAAGTTTTTCATTTGTAAAGCTCTAAAAACCTCACTGACTGATGTTTTAGTGCACTTCCTGCAAATATGGAAAAAATAAAGGGTCTCAATTAAATATATGCAGTTTCACATGATTAGTGCATATTGTCACATGACCAGAGCAGTTTACTTCCTGTTTGCACCTTGAGAACCAATACGCAAAAGCAGCCAGAAGGAGCAATAAACTTTATAAATGTGATTTGTTTCAGATGTTAAAATGCTTCCTCATATCCCAGATTAACTGAATAATGAACAATTGAATAATGAATAATAACGGATTTTTTTTTTTACCATGTTCATTGTGCAATGTGAAGTGGACGTCATAAGATATTCAGCACAATTCCAATCTGGCACCGCACACAACACAGACAGACAGACAGACAGATAGCACAAAAGTCAGTGAGTCATGACCTTGCTATCCAACATACATAATATCAATACAATGAACCAAACCAATTGATTTCATATATATGAAAGTATAGTCAGGCCCGTAACTAGCAATGAAGCCACCGAGGTCCGGACCTCGGTAAATTTTTCATGTTCAAAAATAAAATGTGTTCTTTGAATGACTAATTTGCTGTTAAACTCCTCATATGAATGCCTGCATGACAAGTATAATTCAGTTTAGACAGTTTGCAAGAATGTTTAGCGTCTCTGGTATGAACTTCACTTAAACTGAAAACAATCAAAAAAGCCCATGGACAGGTTTTTGCTGACAGGATTACGATATTCGGTAAGGGAAACGCAAAAATGATCATGATATTATCTGTCATAAACGTTATCTACGCTGTCAAAAACAGTAGCATTTAACACCAGTACACACAGATCTGTAGAACAAGTAGGTTACAGAATGAAATGAAATACGCAAAAACTAGCCATGAAGAAGTCTATGCTATGTCATTCAGTATAGTTAAATTTTCACAAATCATGCTATAAACTTTCGTAAGAGCACTAGACAAAGTTATTGTAGTTATGTATTGTTGCAATAAACAACTGATCTCCTTTAAAGTGTTTATAGTGTATATAATGAGTTGTATTTGTAGGGGTTATTATAACACAATGCTTTAACACTGAGATATATAATCATTTTTATGACTGCAGAAATATGTTAATTCAGTATACACATTATCCCACAATTGTGACAGACCATAAAACACAATTTTTCATACACTTTTCATATTGACAGAGATATTGTCAAAAACATAAATTATTGGCAATATTATGAGGATTTATTTAGTAGCTACTGTCCCTTTAAGAGCTGCACGCGTTTCTCTCTCTCAACTGTTTACTTTCTTTTTAGACTTAGTACATTATATTGAGACGGAGGGAGGCGCCAGAACTGCAGCTGATAGAATGTGCGCTGTAGCACGATACTACGATATTTCTTCAAAAGCAGATCGTGGAGACATTCAAAAATCGTCATATATGTCGCACTGTACAGCCCTGACAGGTATATTATACAATGAATTATAGCCCTATCATTAAAATATTAACACTGCAGTCATCAATAAAAATCAATGAAATAATAAAACTTTTATTTCAAGCACCGACTTTCAAAAACAACCTGTTTAACACAAAATACGTTTCTTATTTTTTTTTTTCACTATGTACGGGTCACAAGAGAAATATTAAGGGAATAAATTAAAACAATTAGCTATATATCGTTATCAGCATATGTTGAAGTAGATTCGTCTCGTCGTCTCTGAGAGAATAAGCGCCGTCAGATGCAGAAAGCTCCATCAGTCCGTTTTTACTTTCACTTTCTGCAGTGAATTGACTGAGATTAAGACGTTCACGTGCGCAAAGTTTGCATGTTGCTTGTGTGTGATATCCATTGGCTCGCCTTCATGGTTTAAAACAGAAATATTTCCAACATTGCGACGTAACCAATTACCCCGCCCCCCGTATCGAAAATGTACCGAACCGTGACACCACTGTGTCGTGTCGAACCGATCCATGAATTTTGTGAACCGTTACACCCCTATTTAAATCATATAATATAGTTAAGCAATATCACTCGAGCAAGACTCGAGCTGTTTTTTCCTTGAATATCTGCACAATTACAAATGTGATATTGATTTTATACAACAGTTCAAAAAGAAAGTTAATATTATGTTACGTTTTAGACATTACTGTCAGTTTTTGCTCAATTTCAGTTCCAATCAAAGCCCAGAAGAACTACTGTACCTTTCTGAGCAACACACATTGCAGTTTCGTTCCTGAATGAATCCACGTTTTTGAACAAATCAAGTGAGACAAATTATTCAGTGACCCATTCATAAAGACAGGGACTTGCTTTGATTCTGCTGTTCGAATGAATCGGTTGGATGAATGACTGACTGAATTAATTACCTATTAAGACAGTGACTTGCTGCCACCT